TTCAGCAACTCAATTATCTTCTGCATTGCTTTGATGATGTAAAAGTTCTCTAGTATTAAAAAGAACTCACACTCAAATGTTGATTTTGCTGTCTATTTAAAACACTATACCCAACTCCAGTTTAACATTATTAGTAGCAAGAATCCTGTTGGCCTGAACTAGCATCTGCATAATCCAACAGTACAGTTGCCTATGCAACACATTCTTCAACTTCATCAGACACTTTCAGGCCCAATTACTGACAACAAAGCTTATTAACTGTGCTTAGTTTGGAAAACTGGTTTCTTTTGTACTGGATTAATTATTACACATGTCAGTAACAACATACTTGAAAGGTTAAAATTCTTGAGCTGAGCCTGATAATGTGGCAGGAATTAGTTCCACAGCTGGAGACAGTTTATTAATAAATCTGTGCGTGGCTGCAGTTGTAGTCATCGCTCTGAAGCCTGAAGAAAGGAGCAACTATCTAGCCTATTCAAGACTCAAACTGGTGACAGCCACAGATTTCCAAAAAGTAACTGTCACTTATCACTGGTTCTACTTCACAGGTAGAAGAAGAGAGGCACAAGAATATGGTGTCCCAAGGTGCTGGTACAAACAAACAGAGTCAGGCAGAGAATTGGTTTTCTGATTACTGACTTTTGGCCACTGCTTCCCAGTGAGATTTATGTTTTCGCTGCCTCACTGAGGGCTAGCAGACATAAGCATAGCACTGAACACATGGTTGCTAAGACATTTGCATCAGCCTGTTCTGCTCCATAGGTTGGCCGTGGCATCCATACCAACAACATCATCCTTGGACTTACTCGGTTGGGCTTTAGCACAGAGCAGCATGGTAGTCAAGCCTGAAAACATATGGATCAGAGGCTCTAAATTCTTCTCTAACAGGGAGGAGTGCACCATAAGACTGCAAAATGTACCCAACAGGACTTGTTTAAATAGGTGTTAAAAAGAGACCCATCACCAGCACTTGGTTTTGATGGGATTTGTGAGTATCAGAATCCTGCAGTTGAGCATCTCTCTGGTCCAGTGAGCAGAGTGCTGTGTGCACCGACTGTGTGTGCGCTACTACATCGTGTCTTTGCGGGAAAGAAGCCCAGGCAGGGCTACAGAATGTACAGCAGAGCTCAGATACCTGCCTTCACACTACTGCTGTTCTTCAAATGTTTTATGGCACCTTTCCTCTCCTCCTAGAGCCTGCACCTGCCCTGTGTCTGCCATGCCGGGATGAGGAGTCTTAAAGATCTTTTCCAACACAAATGATTCTGAGATTCTGTCATTTTCAGGTTTTTGTTTGGTTTGTGTTTTGAGTTGTGGTTTGTTTTTTTTTTTTTTTTTTTTAACACGAGCGTTAGGGACCTATTAAAGGTATTTTGAACAATAAAAAACCAAAACAAACAAACAAAACAAAAAAGAAAAACAAACAAAAACCAAAAGAAAAGCCAACAACAAACCAAACCAAAGCAAACACACGTATACACGTGTATTTACAAGCGCCCGCACCGCACGCCCCGCTCCCGCCAGGCCGAGGCGAGGCGGGGACGGGAGACCAAGGGAGGGAAGGGCAGAGCCGCCCAGACCGCCCTCCATCCCTCCCCCTCCCGCCTCTGGGCGGCGGGTGCGGCGCTGCGTCTCCTCGCAGCCGAGCCGAGCCGTTCCTGCGGCGGCCTTCACCGTCCTCCCCTTCCCGGCGGCGGGGCTGGGGCCTGCCCGCGGCCTCGGGAGGAAATGGAGGCGGCGGTGGCAGGGCCGGGCGGCGGCAGCAGGGGCTGAGCGGGCCTGGGGAGGCGGCGCCGCCGCCCGCAGCCGGGCGGGGGGGATGCGCCGGCAGCCGGGGCCGCCCGAGCGGGCCGGCCGTGCCGCCGAGTGAGGCGGGACCCCGGCGCTGCGGGGAGCGGCGCTGGAGGGCCGGTAAGCAGGGAGGGTCGGGGAGGAGAGGTCTGGCGGCCAGCAGCCCCGGGAGAGGCTCCTCTGGCACCCCGGGTCGGGCCGGGAAGGCGGCGGGCGCTGCAGGCATGGGCTGCCCGTTCCTGCCGGGGATGAGGGGAAGCCCGCCCTGCTTCCTCCTCCGGAACGGGAAAAGTTTACGCCTCTCCAGCCCAGGTCCTTGCGCCCGGGGCTGGGGGTGGGCATTGCCTCGGCTCGTCCCCTGTCTGTCAGATCACGGCCGTGCCCCGGCGTCCTGGCGGGGACCCCCCTGTTTTTACGGAATGAGTGGAGCCCCCGGGAAGCCCCGACGCTGCGGAAAGAAGAGCCAGTGCCGTTCCCGGCTGTGAAGAGCATGGGGTGCCCGCTGGAGTGGGAGCTGGTGTCTGTCAGACAGGGCACAGCGTGCTGGGGTGGAGGAGGGTCCCGTTCCCGAGCCTGCCCCGGGCCGGGTGGGTCCCGCAGCGGTGCCGGCGCTGCTCCCACAGCGGGTTGCCGTCCCGCTGACAGGTGACCTGTGCGTGCCCACGGAGGGCTCCACTCCAGCAGGAGCTGGAAGAGCAGAGCCACAGGCCTGTTCTGCGAGAGGAGGAAAACCTAAGGAAAGTACCAGTTTCCAGAAAGGCCTGCTATAATGTACATTGTAACGTTTAGTTGCACCACGCAACTTGCCAAAGGAGCCTGTGTGACAAGATTTTGATCCAAGATTTTTTTAAAGTGTAATAAATTGGCCAGATCTCTTACCTCTACGATAACACAAAGGAGGCATTGATGAAAATGGATTAGTTACCCGAGCTAGCTGTTGTTTGGCCTTTATTACCAGTTCCATTTCAAATTACATCATTAGTCACGTGCAGATGGGCAAGCAGTTGGGAGTTTGGGACTACTGGCATGCCGCTGCCAGTCACGATTCCTCCAGGCACTGTCCTGCCAAGGAGACCCAGTCCAAGCAGCACAAGCTGCAGAGCAGAGACCGTGCACCGAGTTTTAATGTTGCTTAAATGTTCTGCACTTTATCCCATCATTCTCATGAAGACAGCAGTCTTTGGCAAAGAATGAGTGTTTATTTGAGGTAGCAGGTTATTCATGGGCCACGAGTCAAGCCTGCAACTCTGTGATCTTTGGTTCTTGTTTGTGTTTGCGATCCCATTTTTTTCTCATGCAAAACTGGCATCTGGATAACCTGAGGGTTATGTGACAGTTTGTGGCAAGTAGCCACGAGAGGGAAGGACAGAGGAATGGATGGAGAGAGGCGTTTTGGGGATCTTTGCCTCCTAAAAAGTGTAGAATTGTAATAAGCAGGAGAAGGAGTAACTGGAAAACTCACTGTGTATTTCTTTGGGAGCAAATGGACTACACCTTCAACATATTTCTTGCTTCTCCTACTTGTAAACTAGACAACAAGAAGTAAAAGACACTTTTAGAAGCAGAAGGAAACTATTATAGAGAAAAAACAGTAGCTAGTACATGTATTCACTAAAGTAACAGGAGAGGCAACAGAAATGCAGTAATATCAGATATTAAGCAGGAAGTGCAATTATCCTATGTGAAAACAATAAAAATATTAAAGAAGGTAGAGAAAGGAAGCCATAAACACATTATTTAAAAAAAAACCCAACAACTGTTTATTGCATTTAAGCAAATGTAAGGTTGAGGTATTCCTATATATAGTTTTGAATAGTCCTTCTTCTTGAGATCAGTGGTAAGCTGCTGATACAGATGTCATGTAGGATGCTGGAAGTGAGTAACAGTGCCAGGCGTTGTAGTTACATTATGAGAGATCCTCTGACAAGACTATTACTTTGTCAGAGGGGGTGGTTGCAGAGTTGCTGTGTGCATAAAAAAAATAGACAAAGAAGCTTTACATTTTCCTCCCAGCATCATTGTATTGAAGGGTAATAGTGGTGGTTGTTATGGATGTGGCTGCAATTCTGCCCCCTTTCTGGTCTCTGAGTCCAGCCCTTGAGGTGAGTCCTGTACTGCTTGTAGGTGATTTTGGCTGAAATGCTCTATCCCTACAGCACAGGACCTGGCAGCTCTGTCCTGTGTATGCTAATTGCTTTTCCCATGTCATTTAATGCAATTTCTTAGAAATCCAATACATAAATTACATAAGGGGATATGGATCAATAGTCCTTACTGAATGGTGTGCATCCATCACCATTATAAAAGCAGGCAGACTAGCAGGGACGCTATGAATGTTGGAGGTTTTTTCTACCCTTCTTTATGTAGAACAAATATACTGAGTTGGACAGAAAGGTCTGGCCCAGACCTTTCATTATATCTCTGAAAAGCCCATAACTGATGGTTAGAAAGAAATTTCCTCCTGCAGAGTGTTCTCTTAAAGCTTCTGTCAGTCTGCTGCCTTGAACTGAGGTTCCGTTGGTTTTTGAGTGTTGAATGGTTCTCATGGTTTTAGCAGAGCTACCTAGAAAGCAAAAATGTCATTGCTACATTTTTGTGTCTTGATATCTAATCTAATTTTCCCTCATCTGTGAGAGTTGGAAAATTTTTCAAATGATCATTACGTTTGAAAGATAAATCTCAGTGCTTAAAGTGGGAGATGGTGGATGTCATGGCAGACTGAAAAATGAGGTCCTTTGAGACCTAATGGTTGTCAGCATGAATCTTAGGGCAAGTTTTACACAAGTGCAGTGGTAGAGAGAGAATAACTTCTGAACTACTTAGCTGGAAAGAGGTCAGTCCTCTGGAATTTGTGCACACTCAACTGGCAGCTAGGGAATTGCTTCAGAAAACAGGAGATGACAAACATCGTCTTTGTGGAGGTCACAGCACCTGTAATTTTCCAAAAGACAGTTGATGCATCTTTTTACCTAAATGCGGTGCTTATAGGAGAATGGAACCATAAATGAGGAGATAAAAAGGACCTTTCAAAAACCAAACTGAGAAAATAAAATTAAGCCTGAACAGTGCCATCCTGGCTAAAAATTATGTTGTGGGTTTTTTTTTTTTTTTTTAAATTGGTGATATTCTGTTCTTTTCCTCTTCTTACCCGTTTTGCATACATCCTTCTGGTTCTAAATCTGTTTTGATCTGCTTGTCTGCCTGCACAGGCTTTCAACATACCCTGAAGACATTTCACTTCTGTCAGCTACAGTGAGAAACCTTCCTGGAAACATTTGCATTGCTGGAAGGCAAAAGGTAGTTAGAAAAGTGATTGGCACCTGTAGCAGCAGTACTGATGTTGCAGGTGGACATGCTGAAATAATGTCAGAACCAGGCTTACTTCTGTTATTGATGCTTTGTGGGAACAAAGAAGGTGGAATACTGGTATATGACTGAAAAACTCAATATAAATTTCCTTAGAAGTATTAACCAGCACATTTTTAGCATCTTAAAATGGGAATGAGGGCATGTTGCTTATTCCCTCACAATTCACTCAAGTGGCTGTATAGAAATTGTGATCACAAACTGTGCAGACGTGACTCTCATTTAAGTTGTATGTGGCTACTTTGGGAGTGAGTTTGATCCTGTTGCTAGTTGCATTCATGGTTTTGGATTTTTGTTCTTCCTGAGGCAAGAAACAGAAACCTCACAGGATTGTTGTGAGGATGTCATTATATGAGATTTTTTGTATTAGATCCCCTTTGGTTAAGTGTTTTGATGTTGTGTTGCATGTGTCCTCAAAAGGAAGCATTCACTTATGTTTTAACTTTCCAGCATCTGAGTTCAGGCCCTCAGGTGCCTGTCTCTCCAGCAACAATAGAGACAATGGTGCTGTATTTTTGCAGGATAAATATTCAAACCTGAGCAGTCTCGGGTTTTGGTATGAAAAGTGATGATGTTTGCTAGGTTTTTGTTGTGGGTTGTTATTTTTTGCAGTGGAGCTTTCACAGATACTCGGTGGCAGCCCCTTTGTGTATTGCCCATCAGAAGCTGAAAATTCAGTGGAAGATGTAGCTTAAAATTATACATTTCTCCTAATGGCTAGGGACTTCTTTGTCATAGGTTTCCTTATATTTAATCCTAACTTCTAATAATAAAAAATAATTTCTTAGGGTTACAGTTTGAAAAATCAGGATAGAAGTGCTTAGAGCAGTACAGCAAACTTTAAAGCTGTGAGGTAGGGTAGATGCTGCATTCATAATACTATGCAGTATCTTCATCTTCACTCTGCTTGGATTCTGTCAGTTCCTGTGGGTGGTTTCTTTGCACGTTAAATCTGCAGTCTCAAGTGTTTGGGTAACTCTTCCTGCTGTCCTGGGGAAGTCCTGTCTGTGAGGTTTCCCTGCAGGCATGCAACTACAGGTAGGAGGCACTGCTGCAAGGAAACCCTTTCTATTATTCCGTGGATGGTGCTTACACAGTAACTGTCCTGAGCTGACGTGGGATAACCAAGTATAGTGTTAATGTTACATCTAGCACTGAGAGCGCAGCTTTCTTCATTCTCCCTGCCTTTCCTAGAATGACCTGTCTTGCTAACTTAAATTGAAAAATAAACTATGCTGTAAAAAAATCAGAGGTTTTGCTGATCTGTCTCCCCAGTCAGATAGACAGCAGGGGTGAACCAGGAGCGAAGCCTCCCTTTGATAGCAGCCAGTGGTTACATTGCCTCAGCCTTAACACTGGTTGAAAACCCAGCTGAATAGGCAAAAAGTGAAATCTACTGCTGTGTTTTGTGACACACATGCACATTAGAGTTTTTGCATTTTGCTTATGGAAAGCATTTTTCTAAACTGGGACAAAAATAATTAATGTGTCAATCTTTTCTCTTTCAAACAGGAAGCGTCAACTTTATATGGCTCATGCCTGACAACATGCACCACCAGTGGCTGCTGCTAGCTGCATGCTTTTGGGTGATATTCATGTTCATGGTTGCTAGCAAGTTTATCACGTTGACTTTTAAAGACCCAGATGGTAAGTTCAACTTTGATGTGAAACAGAAAATTGTGTAGTGCTTCACACAGTCTTTTCTGTGAAAAGTAGCTCTTGGCATGTTTACCACTTCATCAGTAGGACTGAGAACAGAACAACTAAATTTCTAGAAGTGACAGTACTGATATTCAGTTCCTGCTTTTCTTGGTGTAATTCTGGAAAACTAACATCATGTCTTTTCTTTGGTGGTTAAGAAAAGAAGAGATCATGTTTGGCAGTACTGTCTTGTAGTTTGGCTTTTTCAATTATATTTAGTTTCAGTAGCTTGATCTACTAGGGGTAAATGTTGTGCAAAACAAGAGAGCACAATTACCTGTTTAAAGTCAAAGGAAACTCACAAGGTATTGAAGAACTCATTTCATGTGATTCTAGTTTCTGTCCTTTTGTGGCTGCTTGTCTTATGACTGAGGTATTATGTAAAACTTGTGGAAAGTTTTATGTCCTTTGCAGTGCACTCTGCCTAGCCACCTCTGCCCTGCTTCTTGCATTCAGTGTTATCCTCTGCTGTTTGACTTGCAAACAGCTTATGGGCTTTTGCTTAGCTTAAGTAGCCCAGATGTTATTAAGCTGATGAGGAATTTAAGCCATTTGATGACACCACACAGCACAGTTTTCTGTCTGCTAAGGAGCTGCTCTTACAAAGTCATCCTACAGAGTGTTTTGGATGAAGGTGATGATATGACAGCCTTTAGAGATCTGTGTTTCTGCATCTTCCTAAGATATGTGAAAAAATTTGTAATTTTTGAAGTGCTGACATCATTGGTGCCATGTTTCAGTAACTTGATAATATATTATGTAACTTGTCTATCTCGCATTGGCCTTTTTAGCCATCAGCGCGCTTGTAGCAAGCGTGGGTAGAGCCCTTTCAAATCTTCGTTCGCGAAGCCTAGCCATGATGATGATGATGATGATGATGATGGATAAATATATTAGGTGTACCTTCATAAACAGCATGCCTCTATTTGCTTACAGAGAAGTGTAGGCTAACTTAGCTTTCCTTGGACCCAGCTGTTTCTGAGCCCTACATCTACAAATCAGCTGGTCTTATGTTAGATAGTTGTATCTTCCAGTATTTCATTCTATACCAAGTCTTGTTTCACAGTTCACTTACTCTTTGAGTGGTCTTTTACTCCAGAATTTGTCAAAAAGATTAAAATGTATTTAAAAACAAATAATTATTAGAGTATACACTCTGCATTTACTTGCTTTTTATCACCTTGGCTTGCCAATTTTTCCTTTTTTTTTTATTACCTCTGTACTGAATCTTCCTCCCTTTTTGAACAGTTCTCTGAGCAAAAGCTGTATAAACTACTAAGCTTGCCCTGAAAAGGCATGACTGTGCTTGAGTTTTTAAGTCTATGTATGTATTGGAGATAGCAGTGTTTGTAATAGAACTAATATAGGGATGTATTTTGAATATACCAACAGAATTTTGGAGGAAGTCCAAACAGGATGGCAAAAACTGGAGAAACTCTTCTAGGCTAAATAAAATATGGCTTGTCAGAAATTTTCCTTATTTGGATGTATCTTTTTAGCAGATAGAATAAAACCGGCAGATGATCAAGGAATCAGTGTTCTTCTGCATAAGCCTTTTACTGATGTCTTGGGTAGAATGAGTAATAGGAACTTCTTAATGAGAAAGAGCAAGTTTCTGTCCGTCATCTCTAGTAGCATCTGCAGGCATGCTTTGACACAATGATAATGAAAAATACCTGACCTGCTCTTCCACTGAATCAAATTATTTTACAAAAGAATACCATGAAGTAAGTCTGCACACGAGTAAGTCTGCACACGACAGTAATTACAATACCTGATTGGCTGGATGCTTACATTGCTTTCAATTCTAACTTGCTTCTCCATGCGTGGCCTGTGTTAAAAGCCAGTGTAGGCAGAGTAGAGTACTCCCTTAAGTGGAGAACACAGGGAGTACACATATTTTCTCAACCATAAAACAGTAAGTCCCTGTGGCTGCAGACGAAGCAATGTTATTCATTGAAGAAGCTGTATGAAGGGAAGAGTAGTCCACTGTGAATGTGCATACATTTTCAGGGAGAAATAATTTTTTGCTTTCTAATTAGAGAAATCGGCTTGAAATTATCTTTGATCTTTCTGCACTGTGCAGACTAATGCTACAGCCTTGTGTTATTTTTCAGTTTTTCTGTACCATACCAAATGCAAAAGATGAAAAGAGTTCTTGCCTTACATGCTTTAATTTGGTTTTAAACTATTAGCTGCCCTAAAAATCACTAAAAGGGAACAAGAGTATAAACTAAGTTTGTTGTTATGGGTACTGTCTAAGGAAGGTCATCATTCCAGTAATAAAGGAAGAGGGGATCTTTATTTATTGCTGGTTAGAGGTGTTTACTTAGAGCACCACAGAAATAAAAGGTGGTCCTTAATGACACTTCTGGTAAATTTAGGAGTTTACAACAGAAGAAACCTATCTACTAATATAAGGGAGAGAGAAACCTTATAGATTAAGGTTTTTACTTAGACATGCTTTGGAAAGTTTATTGAAAAATAAAAAGCTACACACAATTCCTTGTAATTGTACCAAATTGTCTGTCAACTGCGACATTTAAATTCCAGATTTCGATGTCTCTTTGCACAGTTTGTTAAAAAAAAAAAAAAAACAAACAAGAAGAAATCCCAAGTAAAAGATAATGGGCATGTTTGATAAAACTCAGCTGAAATTGCATTCAAAATTTCTATGGTGTACATCCTTTAAAATATTCATAGTCTGTCTCATGTCTTGTCCAATACCTTTCCATGTAGAAACAAATCCTAGTGTTTTGTAAGCTTAATACAGAAAGTAGTGTTCATTTGTGTTAGCTGTAAAGCAGAGTAGTTGCCTTCCCCTCACCTTCTGTAATGCTCTTATCTGTCTTCCTTCTTTAGGCTACGGTTCCAGGCAAGAGTCATTGATACTGACAGCTGTGACAAAAGTGGAGGAGGTGCATGTGCCGGAGGAAAAACATTGGCCTGAAGAATTCCAGGTGCATACTGTTGAGATAAGCGTTACATGTATTAAAGAGTAGGAGAAAATAAGAGATTAAATAAGGGCTTCCTGATGTTAAAATGAATTTCTAGACATGAATTATTTTCAGACTGTTCTATTTAGATAGAGCCGACAGAATTAATTTTAACTTCACAAAGCTAGTTTGTTACGGTAACCTGCTATCTTTTTTCATCTGAATAGTTCAACTTATGGTGTTTCCATTTCTAGGAGAAAATTGTTACAGTACCCCTTTATCAAGTCAGGAGAGTAATTTTTGTCATTTTTTTGTCATTTTTTAAAATATAATGGCCTAGTTTTGGATTACTTGTATTCTGCCTTGCCATAACCATCACGTTTGTGGTTGTTGAGGGCAAGCCTTTGTCTTGTCTATTCTCTTAGTCCTCTGCCCAAACTCTCTGTTTCTTTTTATCAGTCTCCATTTCTTTATCATGTTTTATGCTCTTTGTGCTTTCCGTTTCAGCATTTTTCCAAAGTAGGTTTTGAACACAATAGTAGTCAATACCAGTTGATCCTTTAGATGCATAGTTCTGTGCCTTCAGCAATAAAGTGCTACTTGCTAATTGACAAGGAAACTCTGAAAATCCCTTATGCAAATGTAAATTTGAAACCAGTTGCACAGTGGGCAAAATCCAATTCTTTTGCATTGGTACCTTAATGACATAAGTCATCTTATGTATAAAGTATTTTTGTGATGCAGCATGGAAGGTAGGCTAGCTATATAAACGTGACACGTTTTGTTTTCATATGTAAAAAACATGAAATTTAGGTTACCCTCCAAATACATGGAAAAAACACTTTGTTCAGTGGAAGGCTGGCAGATCTGTGTAGTCAGTTTTAATATCTTCTTTTACTTGTATGGAAGAGGATAATAAGGTTCCTGGATCTAAAACTATTCCCTCTTGACTTCCTGGCAGCGTGAAATGTAGAATAACAACATTAATTCTAGTTGTATGCAAAGGAATTATTTTGAAAGATAAACAACCTGACAAACTGTTCAGACTACATTCTTGGAGAAGAGTGACAAACAGAAAAAGTAGAATGAGATTATCTTTTCCTTAAGGAGTATTGGGACAAAAAGTAAAATCATTTCTTTTTCATCTATAGCTTGGACACTACCTAAAATCATAGAATCACAGAATGGTTTGAGTTGGAAGGGATCTTTGAAGACCATAGAGTCCCAACACCCCTGCCATGGGCAGGAACACCTTTCAGTAGACCAGGTTGCTCAAAACCCCATCCAGCCTGGCCTTGAACACTTCCACGGATGGGGCATCCACAGCTTCTCTGGGCATCCTGTTCCAATGCTTCCCCCCTGTAGGAAAAAATTTCTCAATGTCTAATCTAAACCTACCTCCTTTTAGTTGCAAACCATTATCCCTTGTCCTGTCACTACCGGCCCTGGAAAAAAGTCTCTCTCTGTCTTTCTTATAAACCCTTTGTAAGCATTGAAAGGCTGAAGTGAGGTTTCCCTGGAGCGTTCTTTTCTCCAGGCTGAACAATCCCAGTTCTCACAGCCTGTCTTCATAGGAGAGGTGCTCTGTCCCTCTGACCATCTTCATGGCCCTCCTCTGGGCCATTTACTAACAGGTCTGTGTCTTTCCTGTGCTGTGGCCCCTGGGCTGGAGGCAGTACTCCAGGTGGCAGTAGAGCAGAGTGGAAGAATCATCTCCTTTGACGTGATGACCACTGCTTTTTTCACGTGGTCTGGGATGAATTTGGCTTTCCAGTTTGCAAGTATGCAGTGCCAGCATGTATCCAATTTTTCATTCGTCAGTATCCCCAAGTCCTTCTCAGCAGGGTTGCTCTCAATCAGTTCATCCTCTAGTATCTATTGATACTGGGCATTGCCAGCTATGCAAATCACTTAATGGAAGGGTGAAAATTTGTCAGTAGAAATTTAAAATTTCCTGTCGCCTCTTAATCAGAGAAGCTTCTTTTTCCTCTCTCTCCATTAGTTGTGCAGCAAGAGGTGGTTGGGTTCCTGTCGTAGTCTCAGAAAAATGAGACATATGAAACAGTTCATTCATCCCTGGGGAGAGGTATCCTTCTTACTTATTTTATTTGCCACAGTAAGCACTTATGCACATTGTCCACTTAATTTTATTTCAACTTGGATAAATGGAAACGCTGAATGCCTACAGGTGCTAGAAAACCACAGAACTTTTATCCTAAATTCTTTCCCAGTCACATGGGTCAGAATCACAGAATATTCTGAGTTTGAAGGGACCCATAAGCTTCATCGAATCCAACTCTTAGCCCTGCACAGGACATCCCCAAGAATCACACCTTGGGTCAGCCCCATCTCATCAGAGTTTAAAGCATAATTTATGTTGAAATTCCTGTCCCAACTCCTCAGAAACTTTCCTTGGGGCTGTTGAAGCATTGTAGGAGTTCCAGTATTTGGTCAAGGTGTGTTTTATGCACACAGGTAAGACCTTCCTGCTCTGCAGCAGACTTAAATTATTGTATGGCAAAGCTCTTACTACTGTATACTGCTAAGTAATGACTTAAGAGTTGAACCAACAAGTACAGAACCAACAGCAGCAGCACAGGAAGGACAGGAATAACTGTGGGCTACTCCTTTAGTTAATATATAGCGTTGTTTTAATTGTGAATCTAGGGCTCATTAGCGTGCACTATTTGGGGCTTTTTAGAATTTGATCTGAAAACTGAATTCTTTCGCTTTTGTTTTTTCTTTCCCCTCTTCATTTCATAAAGCCAACTGGAAAACCTTTTTCTGGAAATCTGATCCGCCAGCCCCTGGTTCATATGGAAAGACTTGAGCTTCTCAGGAACGTCTGCAGAGACACTGCACTGAGAGATCTCTCTCACACTGCAGTTTCCAAATTCGTCTTGGACCGAATATTTGTGTGTGACAAGCACAAGATCCTGTTTTGTCAGACGCCAAAAGTGGGCAACACTCAGTGGAAAAAAGTCTTGATTGTTCTAAATGGTATCTACTCTGCTGTGGGTGTGTGGGTTTCTTTGAGGAGGAGGAAGAGAGAACAGAATTGGTCTAATTGGGGCAACACAAAAATGGATTCTTTCTGCATTTCTGTACACTGATACTCAATTTCAGCCTTTTATTCATCACAGTTCCTTCTAGTCCTTTCAAAACATCCCTTTAAAATAAGATAGACCTGCTCTTTCTGTGCAAGTAAATACTGTTATTACTTGGCTCAAAAGGGATTTGAGTAATGAAGAAGTACCCACATGCATGTGGTAGGCAGGTTTCTTATCTTTGAAGGGGTGGCACTAATTTATAGAATTTGAAAGTATTACGAGGTATCATAATTCCTAATTAACAATAATAAGAAATTTCTGACTAAAGGCCACTGACTTTAATTAGAATTTTTTAGCCATGAGGAAAGCTAGTTAAAACTTGGCAGCTGCCGTTGGTCTGTACTGCTGAAATCTTGTGTGTGTTCTATCAGTGAACCATTATAAGAATTATGAAGATTCTGAGGTGCTTAAGGCAACAGCTTGGTCAGCAAAGGTATGTTATGAAAGACTGTAAAGGAAGGAGTAAAGGGACTAGCATGTTTGAAAAATTATCCACAAGGTGAACACTGCCTGTCTACATGTAGCCTACCATCCTCTTCCAGTATCCTGGTATGCCAGTAAAAATAACACATTCCCTCCGTGTTTTCTGCTGTAAACTTAACACGATCATATTTAACACACTTGTTTGGCATGAGACCATCTTGCCTGTCTGTGCACCAGGGCAGTGAATTTGCTACAGATACTCGGGTCAGTTGATGTCCTCCTGTGGTTTTGCAGGTGGCATAATTTTCCAAGATCTAGGCAAAACCTGGACATTGTAAACCCAACTTTCTTGTTAGAAGCGACCTGCAAACAGCCAGCTCTGCACTTGAGTTTTTGTTTTCCGTACCTTGTGTGAACTTGTTTGTGCACCCAGGCAGAAGGAAACAGTCACAAACTGGTAAATGAACTGTGTCCCTCAGCAAGACCTTTGTAGCAAGGAGTATGTGTTTAAAAACTTTAATATTAGTTTCATCTTTGAGACATGGATGGGAGGTAAAAATTGAGCAGAAATATGCCTCTTATCTATGAGTGTGCATGTGTCATAACACCTATGAAAGCCACACTCAAAGTGCTAAATATGGAATTATATGAGTGCGTTAGAAGTACCTGCTCTTATCAGCATGTAGGAGATAACATGCAAAGAATGCCTCAGGACAGGCAGGGATGTGTTGGCTACGCTGAGTGGAGGATAACTCACATCCTAACAGCAGGGAACTTTTCACCTTGAGCTTCCTAGTTCAGTCGTGTCAGATAATGATAGAAAATTGTTTCTACATAAACACTTGTCTCTTCTGCCTTAGGCTGCCAGTGTACCAGTATCTGCTGATGAAGGCTACCGCTGCAGTTGACCTATCTTTCTCCTCTTTGGGTGGTTTCAGCAGGCAGGACTGATACTTGAGGGAGAGCAATTTACATCCAAATACATAAGTAGTTATTTGGAGGTTCAGGATGGGGAAATGCAGATGTGGTCTTGGATCTTGATGTCAAATACCCTAAAGAATTTTAACAGGTTCTAGCTTTGCAGTCAGAATCTCTCATAGTTTAACAGTTTTACACATAGTAACTGTAAATGGTAAAAATACAGAAAACAGAAAGACATAAATCTTTCAGCCAAAGGCACACATGCTTGCTTTTACTCACTGTTTTTTCCTTGAAAGAATAACTTACTCTCTGATTTGATTTGTTTAGGAGCATTTTCTTCCATAGAAGAGATCCCAGAAAATATTGTACATGATCACGAGAAGAATGGCCTTCCACGTTTGTCCTCTTTCAGTGACTCTGAAATTAAAAAACGGTAAGTAGTGGCTTCTGATGAGTGTGGGCAGAGTTTGGAGTCAGTGGTGGTACAGGCAGGTGGTACAGGTGGTACAGCTGAAGTCTCCATCTGGAATTGAGGACAGCAGGGTTTCTGCTCCACCAGCTGTATTACAGCACTATTCCATTATTCTCACATATGTTGCTCTGTCTGCTTTTCTCCTGGCTTTGAAGGAGAACACCAGTGTAATTTGTGATACAAATAGGTGAGCCAACCAACTCCCTCTGCATATAGGGTTTCCCTAGTTCAGTGCACACGTAATTGTTAGATAGTTGGCCTTCAGAAGGGAAGGTTTAGTTGGAAGGTCCATCGTGATGCCTTGGATGATAAACCTTACTGCTTACAGGCAGGATTGTCATTGCAGACAGACTTACTGGGATTGAACTAATTAGATTTGAAATGTTAGTGCTCCTTAGCCTGAGAGTATTGTCTATTCAGCTGAACCACTTTGTCTTCCTGTTTGGGTGCTTCTGTTTATTTTCAGAGCTGAAAAAATACTCTGCAGTAGAACCTTCTGCATTACTTTGGCTAGATTTTTAACTCTCTCTGCTCTCATCTCTACTAGAGCCTATGCCATATATAATCCCTGTGAGGGATGGCAACATGGAGAGAAAAGGACATAAGATGGTAGTGGACACTTGTAAATATGTGCTTGCATGAGGTTTGTGTGTATTAAGCCATTTTGAAGAGTCAACCTCTTATACACGTGTCAGCTGCCAGTAGAGCTCAGTGCAAGGTTTGTTGCATGCAGTGGCACAAATACATTTATCACAGCGGTACCTGTGGAATTGGGGTCACTTGCTTGTGCTGATACCATGCAAGAGAAAATAGTGTCACTAAATTCTTGAGAATGTGGATCTGGTCTCCCTCTCTGTGAACAGCCCTGCGTAAAAGTAACTGTTCACCTGCAGGATGAGCCATAATTGGAATATTTGAAGTTGAATACCATTATGATTTGGGTCGTTGCATTCAGCTTATGACAGAAGCTGTGCTGGAGATGCATAACATGGTATTGGTTGGGAATTCTGAATTTATCAGAGAATTTAAGTGTAGAGAGAGGGGATGGTGTGGATTTGTTGATCTGGTTTGCTGACCTCTAGCCCTGCCTGGCGAGGAGTAAGTCAGGAGAACGTGAAGGCTGATTCAAGTGTCTGCAGAGGCTGGAAAGAGTTCATCCATTTATTTCAGTGAGGGCTGGGCGCTCAATCTCCTTTTTCAGCTATTTACTGAAGTAAACTTTGTTTTCAATTTATTTCTACAGATAATATCTGACTACAGAGTATTACATAGTACAGTATCATAATAATAATGTGAAATTCTATTGAAAACTGTAGTCTCATGTTTCAGTGATGTTGTCAGCCATTACTGAAAGCATGACAAAACAGTAAATAAATTGCTAGATTTTTTTTTTTCACTTCAGCAGCAATTTTTCTAATTGCCTGCCAGTAAAAAGTGCAGCTCTCTGTGTGCATTTAGCTGCACCAAGGGACTTTTCCCCATGTCTTTGTGCATTTTGCTTTATGAGCTTAATCATATGGCATTAAAAATACCTTTGACTTGGAGCTTTCAGCATCTTTTACCTCCTCTTTATGTTTTGAGATAAGCTAATCTCCAGTTGAATAAAATGTGAGAACTAGGATAAACTATTTCCTCTTTGTACTGTATACAAAAACTGTAAGAAGACACAAATTGTATTTCTAGTCCTATTGATTATAATATTGATAGACTATGCAAATAGTGTAGGATTCACATTGCCACGTGTGTGGTCATTTAACATCTGTTTTGTAAGTATATGCTAAACAGAATTTAAACACTTAGCTAAACACGTTCCTTAATTATTTAATTTCTTCTTTTTTCTTCCTCTCTTTAGACTGAATTTATACTTCAAGTTTTTTATTGTTAGAGATCCATTTGAAAGACTTATTTCTGCGTTTAAAGACAAGTTTGTGCACAATCCTCGGTTTGAACCTTGGTACCGGCATGAAATCGCTCCCGGCATCATTCGTAAATACAGAAAGAACCGCACAGAGACCAAAGGGCTGCAGTTTGAGGATTTTGTGCGCTACCTGGGTGACCCCAATCACCGATGGCTGGATGTTCAGTTTGGTGACCACATCATTCATTGGGTAACGTATGTGGAACTCTGTGCTCCTTGTGAAATCACGTACAGTGTGATTGGACACCATGAAACCCTGGAGGACGATGCTCCGTATATCTTGAAAGCAGCCGGCATAGACCACCTGGTATCATACCCCACCATTCCACCAGGCATAACAGTGTACAACAGAACAAAAGTAGAGCGGTATTTTTCAGGAATTAGCAAGAGAGACATAAGACGCCTCTATGCACGATTTGAAGGTGATTTTAAACTCTTTGGTTATCGGGAGCCAGATTTCTTGCTTAACTGACACCTGGGATAAGCTCTGAAGAAGTGTCTCATGGATTCATCTAAACCTGCCTGAATACCAGCTGCAACATTGACAGAGAATGACCATTTGTTTTCCAGCTTTTTGATGTTGCTCCATTTTTCAGTGAAATATTTGTCATATGAACAAGTAGGGGCTCACAATTGTTGTTTACCGACAGTGTTTTCAGTATATGACATTGCAGTATGTTAGGAATGGTGTCTCTGTTACCTGAAGTACAGAATTCCACTATGCCCTTCTCCCCTCCAGGAAAAAAAGAGGGAGAATAAATGGGCTATGATCTTCCTCTCTTTCTCCCAGACAGAATGGTATTTTTGAAATGTTGTGAAGTATTTATAAAGATGGCAATTTCATTGTAGGTTAACTCTGACACGTAGGTAAACACGATGATTCATGTTCATGAGGAAGTAGTGTAGTCTCCCATGAGCTTTGTAAATGAGAGGCCAGTATAGGACTAAAAATTGACAAATAAAATTGTCTAGGTACTGTCATGTGGCTGCTATAATAACTGTAATGCTGATCTAATCCCACTCTTGTTTGTCAAAAAATGAACCTAATTCGACAGAAGCTTTAGAGATGTTAAAAATGGGACTGGTTCCAGACCCCAGTTGTCTCCATATTTTTGTCAGTTGTTTACTGTACTTACTACTGATCTATTGAGCCTCATAATTCTGCTTTTGATTTTTGAGATATTATTTAATTCCTGGCTGTGTGAGTTATCTGAGAACACCAGATGCAAATGGAACATAGAGGAAATATGAAACTGCAAGGGAAACTTCAAGGAAAAATAAAGTATCCACTGTGTTTGTGGGAGCACGTTTAGTAACCACGAGATGCTCTCACACAATATAACTTGTTTTTTCTTCTAACAGTTAAGATTAATAAAGAAGTCACAAAAGCAAGATGTCATATTAAAGAGCTGCTAGAGTTATTTGGATTAACCATCTATCTTTTTCTTATATCCAGCCTTGCTCAATGTTCAGTACCTCAGAGAATAGAAAGTTTATCCCACTCTGAAAATGCATCTCTCTCCTGCTAAGGCAAAAAAGAAAACAGGATGAATGTCTGATTTTTTTCAGTGATTCACTGCCACGATGTCCCAACCCAAAAATGCCCAACATCTGTGTTACCAGAGGGGTGAATTGGGTACTTGCCAGGAGTTTGAATGTCACTTAAATTTGTGCACCCATTTTATGTGTTAAAAAAAAGACCAGAACTGAGTGGATGCAGCCATCATATTTGCCTGTTCTTGCATTGTGTCTCATAAAGAGCAGATCCTTGTTTTGAGTTCACCAGCAACAAAAATTGGTGTGCTGCCACCTCATCCTGCAAGGCCATGGGAGAGACAGGGACCACATATCTGAAATACAGGAATTGCTCTTGTCGCAGTGAGCATCTGAATTGTATTTTGAAATCATAGTCCCTATAGAGTTATTTGCAGATCAGCATAATGTTAGTGGCTAGAAATGCTAATGATAGTCAGTGCTATGGAATCTGCTTTTAAATCCAGCCACAGTATGTTTTTGATAGCTTCCTGTATTAACACAAGGAAACATCTTGCACTTGTGTAAAAGGAAAGCTGTGCCAAGCTGACATGTGCTGCTACCCACAGAAAGGAAGCCCTGTTGGAGCTGGAAATTATTTAAGAAAGATCTCAAAAGACAAACTGAAATAAGGGAGAATCATTAACTGGGCATTGTTAGCATGAGAATAGTCCAGGGTGGCAAAGCTGGAAGGTAGGATATTTTTCGGGAGGTGGTGTTTTTTTGTTTTGGTTTGGTTTTTGTTTGTTTGTTTGTTTGTGTTTTGTTTTGTTTTTGTTTGGTTTTGTTTGGTTTGGTGGGTTTTTGTGGGTTTTTTGTTTGTTTGTTTTTGTTGCTTTTTTTAAAAAAAATTGCAACAATTACAGTGCCCTAACTTGTTATTTCTTAACCAATGATAAAAAGGTGTTAACATCTCCAGGTTTTTCTGTGGTTTTTTTAATATGGGAACTTAGCAAAATGCACTGTTAAATGCATTTTGGAGCTAATGATCTGACTGATTACCTCGCTGCCAATTTAAAATGTAACAGTGAATAATGTATAGTAAATTCAGGCCTTAAAGTTTAATTCTAATAAAGATAAAATAGACATACATGTTTTCCTTTGAAAGCATAAGCTACTGATCACACAGAATGCCAATGTATGTTTTCATTTTTCTTGGTAAATTACTTAATGTATTGGTTGCTTAAAAATTACCAGGTGGAAAGTGCTATGTAAATATTAAGTAATAATATTTTTTTACTAATAGCTTTCTCTGCACTGAGTTCTCTTGGACATCTGTGAAGAGAGCTATGGACTGACAAAGGCAGAGGTGTGTACTGCCCTCCCTTCTCTGTGTTCCCACACTTTTCAGGCTGTAATGCTTGTTATCGTTTCTTCAGTTGAAATGGAGATTTTCTCCTTTCATTGATAACTTGCTGAGCTATGTTTTCTTTCTAGAAATGTGGGGCTTTTTTCCTTACATGGCTGAAGTAACAATGGCACAATTTTGGTGTGACTCTTAAGGAAACTTGGATACCGTGAAGGTCCTTGCCAAGGTATGGTAGAGTTCTCCTTAAGTCGTTCCAGTGCAGGTAGGGTGGTCAGAGCGTACTGTGTTGGGGAAGAGGCTTCTGCAATGATAGTTATGATGAATTAGGTGCTTGTGGTTTGTGTACAGCTTGACTGTACTCTACACAAGGCTTTTACAAATGTAGTCTCAGTGGCATGCATGAATGTCTTTTGCCTGTTCAGAGGTCATTTGCATACCACTTTCAGATCATATTTATGTCATACTCTTTGAACTGCTGGCCCAGATTGTTCCTTCTCTTTTTCTATTGTTACTGCTTCAGAAAACAAATTCATCTCCTTAATTTGTGCATCTCTGTCTCTTTGTTGTCTCTCCTGAGAAGCTTTTGAATCCTGTGGCCCATTTTAACCACAGTTTACAGAGGAAAGTCAAAGGATAGTGAGTTGCAGCAATCTTCTTGGAAATTCTTTGTACATCACAGAGCCTATGCTATATGTTAGCTCTAGGTAAAGTACAGACAGGAAAGACTTTTACTGTGTCTGCTCATATGGAGCTCCTTGTTTCTAATGAACTCCCTTTGCTACTGCTCAGAGTTTGGCCTCTTAGATCAGCTAACAAAGACAAAAATTAAAATGTATTCCATGGGTCTGTTATCTTCACATTCCTAATAAAACTGAGCTGATTGGGGTTTTTTTGGTATCTTGGTGGCGGGCGTTCGTCTTCCTTGTGGTGAAAATGGATCCAGAGTTCACCTGCTTGTGAAACAACTTTATGGCAATGCCTGCCCCCATTTCTTTTAACTTCAGCACTTAGTACATTACCACTGATGCTTACTGATTGTATGTCATGATGATGTTTTTCTGTAGTTAAAGTTAAAGCATTTTTAAAGTTTGGGAACTGTTCTGCCAAACAAGTAGCAATTCAAAAATGTCCTGAAAATACATATTTTTCACCAAAACAACATGTTATTTTCTGATTCACAGCTGCTGCCCTCTTTGTACTGGGGTAATGGCTACCTGCTGCTCCATGTGTCTCCATCCTCAGATCAAGGAAGCCATCAGACAGCTCTGGCTTTTCTGCAACATTACTTTTTCCTTGAGGTCTTAATAACTTTGTTGGTTGGGAAAGCCACCTTTGATCTTATCTGTGCTCCAGAGAGATTGCTGAGAAAAAGAGTGATTGTGTAGGAATTGCTTAAGCCTATTTTCTCAGATGAAAAGGGATGCCTTGTCAGTGTATCTGATATCTCTTAACTGACAGAGAGTGTGAATGATCTTTCTGCTTAATGGCCCTGTAGTGATTTATGCTAAGCCCCCATCCTATTATTATAGCAACGTGAAGGGATCTGGAAGGAGGTGTAAATTCAACGTGTGCTTATTTTAAACATGAATGTGCAAAGGAAACTTGACTTGGAAGTTGGTTCCTGAAAATTTAGCACGTCCAATTACTTGTTCTGTGTCAGCTGCAGAGGCTGATGTGGATTCTTTGTGGCCTGTGCTGGAGAAGATTTATGGAAGGTAGAAACAGGCTTGTGGGTGGTGGAAAATTCCCTTTCAGCCTAAGTTAGCTGTGCGTGTTCCTGGGCTGCTGCCTTGGGGAAGGTTTTAGAAGGAAATGATCCTATTAGCAGCAAAGCCTGCAGTGCTTGGGCTGGTGAGCAGAGTGCCTCCCTCGTGGAGGAGGAGTGAGTTGGGCTTCCGCTAATGTGTGCAGCCAGCTTTGGTGCAGCCTTGTATAAATCTCTATTTTTGTGCTTTTAATGCAATTGTGTGCAGCTGAGCTATCAGCTTGGTTTCCTGTGTGTGGCGGTAGCCTGAGGTGCCTCATCTCATCGCCACCAGAGCGGCTTTGATAGGCCTGCAGCCTGTTTTGCTGTGCAGCAGGAGACGTTTCCCTTATGGAGTGAGCAGCATTAAGCCTGCAGCCATGCAGCTGGTGGCAGCTGGCTGGTAAGCAGGAGATGGTGCTGTTTGGGGCATCCTGCTGTAAAATCATCATTTTCCATTTTAATCTAGGCAGGAGTGAAAGGGGAAGAAAGATGTGTGTTGAGTATGAGTCATAAAAAAAGAGCCATGCTGATAGAAATTCCAGAGTGGTAAACCCAGACAAGGCAATGTCTGGGAGAACAATGCTGACAAAAGCCATGGGCAGTTGTTTTAAAGCCCCTGGAGATTCTGGACTCCATGCTGAAGGAAGGTTGCTGAAGCTTTATGGGAGGTGTCAGAGGAGCAAGTGTTCTCCCCCGTATGATATGTGTGCATGCCAGAGGAGCAGATGCTGATGGAACAGCATGCACATGGCAGGCTGAAAGCATGAAGCATCTGCTGTGGGTGTCTGTTTGAAATCACAGAAAGGATTAAAAAAAGAAGGTGGGAAGGAAGTAAAGAAAAAATACTCCTGAAGGTTGCACCCATGGAAATGCAGTACCCACTCCTAAGTACCAGAAACACACTGCCCTGGGTGGGTACAAATAATTTCTGAGCAATTTGAGGTACAAATGCAAATGGGAGAGTAAACATAGATCATAGGGCATCTGTACATGCTCTGGAAAGTGACTTAATACTGAGAACCTAGCCAAGGCTCCCAATTGTGCTTAAGTAAATGGATCTCATCTAGGAAAAATGTATAGCTATGGTGGAAGCATACAAGGAGAGAAGAAAAAGCTCTTCCAAGACAACTGGCTCTCTCAACAACTAAGTGTTATGCACCTGCTGTGATTTAAGACATAGGAACATTTTGTCTTGTACATTTTTTTTTCTTTTTTTCTTTTTTTTTCCCTTTTGTCTAGAGCCTTTCTGTTTTATTCACTTTTCTTTCCCAGAGAGGTCTTTGGATGATAGCACAGTATGACACGACATTTTTCTCTTGTCAGAAGGATGGAAGAGTCTGTAGGAAATACAGTATGTCCTCCATAATTTTGAGGAACACAAAGAGAAAATTGAGGGAGTTGTTATCAATCATGAATGACCTGTGGTGACTGTGGAGCATCAGGATTGCATGACCTACTTCTTAGATGTTTCATGAGTTGGGAAGGAGTTCACTTATGGAAAAATTATCACTGTTCTGTTGTGTATTTGGACTCTTTTTTCTTATGTTTTGAATAGCTCCCAGTAAGGTTTTACAGCAAGTAAAATCTGAAGTCTGCCATCACAAATCTTCACTTTGGATCCACTTATTTTGGTCTCATTCTACTTTAAGCATTTTGTAGAGTAAGAGTTGACTCTTTGCACTTACTCTTGATTTCTGACTGTTCTTTTCAATGCTGTAGCATTTATACTTGTGAAAAGTAAGAAAGCTCAGCAAATACTCTGGAGAGAACAGGACTCCAAAGTGGGCCTTTATTTGTATGCTGCTTTCGTCTGCCAGCATCTGCTTTCCTTTCATTATCTTTTCAGTGTAGCTCTTTGCTGTAAAACCCATTGGGGTATATAGTTGTGGTTAAGATTACAGATCTAGAAATGTGTGAGAGGAAAGGGATTAGGAACAGAGTTGCAGCAAGAAAGAGGTAGCATGAGGAAGGGGCTTCCACACTCCCTTTCACAGTTTTTTCTTCACATACCTTTTGCTCCATCATGTATACTCTTGTTTGACTGCTTTTAGGACCTGGGCTCTTGCCCTTATGGTCAAGTGTAGTGTGTAGTGTAGGTGGGTTTCCCATTTGTCTCTTAGTTGCAAACATGCACACACTTGCTCTTCTCTGGTAGAAGCAGGATAGGTTCTCACAGGTGAGACCTTTGTCCCATCAAGTGTTACAACACCGCATAGCAAAGATGAAGCAAAGGTGTTGTTTCCTCACTTTCTGAGCAGTACAGTGTGTTGTTTTACTCATCTTTACTACTAGACAGCATAATTTTGCTGTTTTGGAAGACATCCAGTGATAACAGCAGTGTTGTAATCAGGTTCTAATCTCAGCACACTGTTTAAATACATATATCTCTGTGTGACAGCAAGGTACTGCAGTAAATTGCAATTGGTTTCTGTGGGTTTAGAGTTGACTTAATAGGTCGTTGGACATGCCATTCTGATGGAAAACAACTTAACTGCATTGCTACTATCTCCTTGTAAGGGTCTGTCATATGACTGCTTGCTGGTCAGAAAAAAATTACTTTATTAGGTAGTGATACTTTTTTATTGTAATCCTCTTACTTGTGAATTTGAGTCTTTAAGATACAGCATGGTAGATTTGTCTTGTGCAGTCCCCTCCTGTTCTAAAGTAATATTGGCAGAGATTTCATACCTCCATTATTTTGGTGCCTCTTTCTGCAGCTTCTATTTGGAGCTGTTTCAGGTTTAAACACTTTGCATTTGAAAGTATGTAACTGGACTATAGATACACCATAAAGGCAGTGTGAAGGCTTTCACAAAGAACTACAAGCCAACGGTGTCACATGGCTGTGAGAAAGCTACCACCCGATTCTGCATGCATCCAGATAAATAACTCCAGTAGCAGCCAGTAAATATGAATAAGGTGACTAAGGGTGTGGAGAGGCCTTGCCTTGACCCCATTTTCAGTTCTCATCAGGTATGACCAGGGAGAACTAGCAGGGATGCAGAGAGCTGCTGGCATTGGAGCAGAGCAACCAGAAACTATTCAGCCTAAGAAAGGAGAGGGTGTATAATTCCTGTCTAAACCTGTACAGGGACAAATGAAGCAGTAGGAGAAGCTCACATCCAGAGAAGAAGGGGAACCAGAAGACAATGCAGTCACAAACACAAACCAGTCTGAGTTGGCCAGGAGCCAGATGAAGCTGGAAAATGGGAGGAGGTTTCCTATCCTGAGGCTCTGTGTTGTCATTTTGGTGTATACAGAGGAAGCAAAATAATAACAGGCTGCTGTGCCACTGTGTTCAAGCAGCAGAGGCCTTGACTTCACAGAATCATAGAATCATTTAGGTTGGAAAAGACCTCTAAGGTCAAGTCCAGCCATTAACCTAACACTGCCAGGTCATTACTAAACCACGTCCATGAGTGCCTCATCTCCATGGCTTTTAAATACCTCCAGGGATGGTAACTCCAGTACTTCCCTGGGCAGTCTCTTCCCACGCTTGACAACCCTTTCAGTGAAGAATTTTTTTCCTAGTATTCATTCTAAACGTCCCCTGGCACAAATTGAGGCCACTTCCTCTTGTCCTGTCACTTGTTACTTGGGAGAAGAGACCACCTCACTACAGCCTCCTTTCATGTAGTTGTAGAGAGTGAGACCCAGTGACCTGTGGCTGTGAGAGGACAGCAAAGCAGGGTTAAAGTGTGTGCTGGGTAATCCAGCTGGGAGGAAAAGGATCAGCAGAGGCAGGTGGGGCCAATCTCACTCAGCCATGTACATTCAGTTTAGTCTTGTATACCAAGGGATTGGTTATATATCTGGAGATACAGATATATATATGGAAAGTTGTTGCCGTCTCCTGCCTCATGATCTTTAGCTCTTGCTCATCGCATTTGGAAATGATGAAAGAAATGTCAAATTTTGAAAGGACCCAGGAGCACAGAAATAATTCCCTGACCTTGTTTTTTAGTTAAAAGTTTGTGGGTTTTGTGGAAAGCTTCCCCCGTCTGTGTCTGAGTTGGTGTCTGACGCAAACAGAAGTGACTTGGTAGGAAACAAGATGGAAGGTAAAGAGTCTCATGGAGTAACTTCTTCATTTAAAGTTTTTGAGATCCCTGATCTCTCTCCCTTCCTAATCCAATGAAGAGGCTGGACAGTGTGCTAGACCTAGACTTCTGCACCGAGTCCAGATATGCCATCTATATCTGGCCAAACTGACTCGACTGTCAGCATAGCACAGTACAGGCAGATGTCGTAGCTCAGAAAGACCTCTACAAGGCATCACTGCTGCAGGCTCTTCTGATCCCACTCAAACAGGTATCCCCTCCAGAAAATGAATCATGAAGCTTCAATCCACCTCCTCTTTCCCATCCCTGAAGGGGAGAATAAGGATCACTTTCTGCAGAGGGGAACTGCCATCATCAGACATGAAGAAGCTGTTGCTAGGGGGGCAGCCTATTAAATAAGCTTTATTGATGACTGAGTCCTATAAACAAAACTTGTGCTATGAGGGTAGGAGTACTGAAGGTATTTGTAACATGTTTAGAAAAGGTGAAAAGTTCCTGTAGGAGACAGTGGGACTAAAATATTTATGGCTTTATTATCAGCAGATACCCTTAAAAGAGAATTGTAACCTCTGGGTTCAGTCGTGCAGAGTGAACTTAGCATATAGGCTGCCAGTGCTTACAGCTAACACAGGGTACACCAAATACTGTCAGGAGCTTAATTTGATGCATTGTTTTAATTTTTCCCTGACACACAAACCACCAGAGGTGTATGTGTTTGCAATCAGTGCAGCAACCTAATGCTCCAGACTGCAAATGGTACTTTCATTTGCCATCTGAAACTTCTAAGATGTAGTTGAGGGCTTTCTTTGTAAAGTTTTATTCTGAAACATACTGACTCTGCTAGGCACTTTACTTGAGCTAAAGGCACAGAAAGATTTCGTGTAGTCTGCTCTACCTGAGAGAGAGGGAACCTGGACTTCCGTGTACTTACTTGAGTTTTGCTTTGTTTAACACCTGTTACTTGAGGTAAAACAAATCAGGCCTGAAATTCCAGAGTGGGAGGTGGACAAGAAGTAAGCGATTGACTGTGCAAGAAGACTTTCGCTAAGGACCTGTGAATGATGCTGAAGCTGATGGGATTTGCTTTGCTTTTTCTGCTGTGGATTTTTTGCTGGGGAGGGGGGAGGTTGTTTTAATTTGTTTGCTTGTTTTTTTGGTGGTGGTGGTTTGTGGTTTTGTTTGTTGTTTTGGGGGGGTTTTTTGCCTGTGTCTAGAAATTTACATTCAGGAAGTGATGAGTTTGCAGCAGCTGGTACAAAAGGCTGGGAAATGCCAGTATTAGGGGTTTCCCCCATGCCCTTCTTGCCCCTATTTCTTAGCACAGAAGTTATTTTCATTATATTGTCACATGTTATTTTTTCCACAGAATTCATGTCTCATTCATTGTACTGGAGAAATGGGGCTCCTGGCTTGAGCAGGTCTTGAAGACAAGTAAATGCTTGTGGTTCTGCTTTATTATCTCTCTCAGAAAATAGAAGGTGGGTACTAAGAGAGGGTAGAACTGACTGAAGAAAAAGTATGATATCACAATCTGCCAGCAGTTGCCACAAAAGTTTTGCATGATGCTTGTTATGTCACCAAACCCTGACTCTCACAAATCATGACACTGGTTACAGGTTCCTCATTCTTTAACCACAAACCTTCAGGTATGACGTGTATGAGCCCTGTTTGTTCACAGCTGCAACTGAAGTCAGACAAGGCTGGAGTGTGAATAAGACACTTGGGTTTAGGTACATCAGCTGACACTCCAAAATGCGTGCTTTTTCTTTCCTAAGGCCTTCTGTGCAGCAGATCACAGGCATTTTGGGAAAATAATTACTGGCTGGAAAAAGAAAAGATGGGGAGTTTCTCAGTCCTGCTCTGGGCAGAGTCATATAAACACGCCCTGAAAGGACAAAACTAAGCAGAGAAAAGCTCTTCAGCCATGAAGGAGGATAACCAGGCATAATGCATAGATGTAAGGTGAAAGGGAGCCAGGACTAACAGGCACATTTCCCTGGAGCTCAGGTTGCTGGTACTAATGTTGGCTATGAAATCACAGACTATCCAGAGCTATCCATCCACAGACTGGATGTAACTTCGTGATAGAAGTTACAGTGTGGGTCAGGAGCACTCCTCTGAAATAAAGCTCTGACTAGCCATTCGTTTGATGCTGTGGTTCAAACGTCTTGTTCCTGAGGCACAAGAACTGGGATCCTCAGATGCATGTGAGCATCTAACATAATCCTGCTGAACAGAAACCCCTCGAGTATGGATGTAGCGTCCCCAGTGCCCTTGGCTCTGCAGATCAGCTCCTAAGATCTGTCTTAGTAAATTCACACCTGTTAAGGCTACTCTAACTTCAGTGCTACTGAGCTTTTGACCTTGGTTTTGCACCCTTGATACTCGGGTTTTGGAGAAAAGGGGGTTGGTATGGATAAGGATGTACACCAGTGGGTATGGGCTCAGTGTATTTCTTAAGGGCCAGTCAAACTAGTTTGCTCTGGTGGTGAATACGTGAAGAGCATGCACCCTTGGTACCACCCATGGTACAGAATCTGGGATATAGGCATAGATAAGGAGACTGACCACTTCAGAAAAGCTTGGGAGAGAAAAATAACAGGACTGAAATCCAACAGGATGGGAGATGGAGGAGAAGCAAGGGATTGACTGTGCAGAAAGACTTGCATTAAGAACCTGTGAAGGATGCCAGAGCTACCATTAATCTCAATTCCAGGAAGAATTTGTCTCTGTGAGTCTGTTATGGTATGTGCATTAATGCACTCCACAAGTCTTCATATACTGCATGAGTTTTCCTCACAAATGCTTGGGGCTGGAGGGTGGTGTGAATATAAGACTGCTGCTGATCATCGGTAGAAAATCATGGAGACCTCTTTGATGATGGGGAAAAAGACTAATACTAGTGAATTGGGATCTAGGGAGCGGCAGGGTGGGCAGCCTCCCTCCATCCTTTGGGTGGCAAGAATCACACAGCACATGCCCTGGGAATCCGTTTTCAGACTCATGAAGTACCAGGTGGCCAGTCAGGACCAGTCAGCATGGCTTCACCACGCGCATGTCACACCTGGTCAGCCCGGATGTGCAGGAACAGCTGGCTGTGGAAACAAGGGGATAGCAGTGGGTATCATTTATCTTGTCTCTAAAATGTCTTTTGATGTGGTGTCCCACAGGACTCTCCTAATGAAATTGAGGATAGGTGAGGGAGCAGGAAGATGGATTAGAAGTTGTCCAGACTGCCAGACTCAAAGGTAATAATCAATGGCTCAATGTCCAGGTGGCAAAGCATAGTCAACAGTGTCCCAAGGTCAATGTAAAGGGTCAGTATTATTTGATATGTTCATCATTGATCTCAGATGATGAGCCAGAGCACACCTTCAGTCATTTTGTGGATGGCATTAAATTGTGTGCTGGGCAGCAGAAGGCTATGCTGGATGGTAGAGCAGCATCAAAAAACCTGAAAGCTGGGCCAGTGGAAACCTCATGAAACTCACCAAGAAGTGCAGGGTTCAGCACCTGGGGCAGAATAATCCAGGCATCAGAATAGGCTGGCGACCAACCTGTGGGGGAGCACATTGTATATAAACTTACCCCCTCTATCCCTTTTATACACTATCTTCCTCAGCTGTACAGACTGTGTTCTTAAACTATCAGGTGGATGGATGGCTGTAGAAAAGATGGATATTCTTGGAGCTGCAAGGACACAAGTTTTGGGAACCTCTTTCTGGATATAAGAAAAGAGGCTCTTTACAGCAATGGTGGGTCAGTGCTAGAGCAGGTGCCCAGGACAGCTGAAAAATTGCCATCCTTGGAGGTAAAAGTCAGTTGCACACAGCAACCTTCTCAAGTGAGTGCCTTCATCTAACTCTCTGTTTTTCCCTGTGTTGAACAGGGTTTGTAACAGATGATCTCCAGAGATCCTTCACAATCCACATTGTTCTGTTACTATGGTCTAGGGAGGTAGCAAGCATAGTTCTCCTCAACTTATGAGCGCTCACCTTTATCTTTCTGTCCTTTTACTCTTGAAAACAGAAGTTACATGGAGGATGAGCCCCTGGAACATGTAGTTCTATGAAGTGACCTATGCAGAAGGTGAAATGCTTGCCAAGTGCCAGTCACTGTAAATGGGCTAGAAAGGAACATTTACTGATCCTATCTGCTGCTGGCCTTTTTTCTCCGTCTGATTAACATTACTCTTTCCAACCTCTTGGCATTCAAGCAAGGCTTTTTGTAGAATTCCTTGCATTCAAAACCCCCTTTTTGAGACACAAAGAAAGCAACGTTTGCTTGGCTGTACTCTTGACCTTCTTACCTTGTTTTCCACTACCACCTTCGTACCCAGGCAATGTGATCTCCTGCTCACACGCTCTTTTCCAAGTACCAGACTGGGTGTGGCGTGCTGAGCAGAACACAAACAGCAATTTCACTTGTCAGGGAGTTCCTCTGGCCTGACAGCTCATGCTGTTGACTCACTGTGAGGTTTTTAACCTGGAGCACTACTGCTATGGGACCCAGTTTTTCTGGAGGACAGTGCTTCTGGAACACCTGAATGGCACTGTGCATGTGCTGTGCCTTTCAAAGAAACACAGTAAGTGGTCGATGGCTGCTAATCGTTGCCTTGATTGACACCCACATAGAAACTGGGATGTTTGGTGTATGGTAGGAAGGGAAACCACTGTCAGTAATCCTTTTACAGCTGCAGAAGCCATAAGGTATTTGTGTGAAGGTAATGAAATGTGCATGGAGAAAATCCCTGTAAATGAGTAATGATTAGCTTATATCACTATTGCTTATTTGGCCTATTGTGGGGGCTTTTGGTCGTTTTATGGATTGGGATGAGGGCCAGGGTCAGACTTTGGAAACAAAGAGAGTATTTTTAGTTAATTAAGAAAAATTATGCTTGAGTTCTAAATTAAATCAGAATACCCTTAATCTGCCCTGCTGCGAATGCTTTTACGCAGATCTCCTGGCAGCAAGTCAAGCATTGTCACCACTCCTGTGCCTCCTGTATTTGTTATTTAGGCATGTACTTTGGGATTTCTGGTGAAGACAGGGCAATATTAATGCTGCTGTGCAAGCTCTGAGTGAAACTTCACCCAAACATGGGCAAACAACTCCAAGAGAGACTTGTAAACCAGAACGACTGCAGAGAAGCTAGGGACAAGTTGTGTTAGGGATCTCTGTCCTGAACTGATTCATAGGTTGTACAGACTCTGTAGTCATCTGACTTTCTACATCACATGGCCATTAAACTGTACTCCTGAACTGACTCTATTTTGACCACAGGTGCACGTTTAGGAAAGGGGAGGAGAAAGGAACCTGACCTGAATTTACAAAGGTCCATTACCAGAGAAGTCATCACAACTCTTGGTGAAAGGTCTTAGTTTTAATTACCTTCACAGGTACTTACCTTCCATTATCACCACATTTAAATATTTATTATTTATTTGTACTCTAAACTTCCTTCAAACTTCATCTGATCAAACGATCAAGTGAACTTCAGTTCACTACAGCCAGGAGATTTGATGTGATGTCTGTTCTGGCACACATGCTGGTGGAGGATCCTGCACATTACCACAACAATCATCAGAGGTGGGAAGAACTGGGACTGACTTGTAGCAGTGGGTTTATGTCCTAATATCCTCATGTACATCACCACCCTAGTAATCTTCATGGAATAAGGCTCTGTTCTTGGCATGCACTGAAGAAACACTGTCAGCTTTTCAACTTCTTTGGCCTTGTATGTCTGTCCCATGATATGTGGACTGAAGAGAAACAGAAAGGGATAAATGTGAAAAAAACCCACATTGTTTCATTTCTCAATCCCTGTTTCCAGAAATTTGCTTTAAAAATCAAAACAAGCTGACCTAGCCAGGAATTCAAGAGAGAAGCATTAGGATGTCTTTTATTCTTTCGTAGTGTAAATATAAACCCCTGGCATGATACCCAGAAGACATTTAGTTTTGCAGCTGTGTGGCAGCGGTCTGTATCCTTCTGCAAATCACCTGCATCTATTCACACTTAATGGCACTGTTGTTTGTTCTCTTTGACCTGACAAACCCAGAGACATGAGGATTAAGTTTCCAGACACCTTGAGTCTTTTTTCTTAGTGACCAATTTGAATTTCAGGTGGAAGTGATCCAATTGACTGCCTAGTGAGATATGGCACACCTTTTCAGCCTTGAATATAGTTGTAAGTCATCAGTGACATCTGCCTGTGTTACTTTACCTGGTTAGCTAGCACTGACTCTGTGGTATGTGAAATCTGCTGACTTTATATTAAAGGATTGGGTTTGCTGCCCCACCTAGAAAAATAAAGACATTGAAAGACACCATCTAAATAATGTTTACAGAGGATTTGAGCCAAGCAGTCTGAGGAGAAGAGACTGCTACAAGAGATCAGAGTGGTGTGTAGTCTGCTGATTACTAGTTTAATAAAACCAGAAAATAGGTGTGTGTATGTATGCAGGGAGAATTAAGGTAGACTGTGTAGACTATGTATTGTGCATGGTTTGCTTGAGAGTAGGCTGGAAAAGAAATTATTCATGTGATAATCGGTAAATTAATTGGTAAATTAACAGCTTTAGCAGTTAGCTGTGGATATTCCATAATAGGACTTCATAAGGATGACCATTTAAAATGCACCTCCTTATAGCTGTTAGAAGTAAGTGCCATGTATTTCTGTGACTGAGAGACTACGAATTTTTTACTTATGTTGTTGCCTGAATAGAAGAATGAGCTTTATGTATGAGCTTCACACACTTTAAAGCTGTATCTGGTTCTGTGTGACCCTGCTAGCTGTTCAGAGTACATTTCACTGGAAACCTTAACAGCTTTAAGAGATTTCATTCTAAGTATCTTAATGGAAGACACTCTTGTGTTTTTACTCCATCTAGTCACTGCTGCATTCATTAAAAAGTATTTTGAATCAAAATGGCTACAAACACCCTACACTTATTTTTGTGCTTTGTGTGTACAAAAGGTTTTTGCTTGTGTGCTAGCTAAACACACTGCAAATGCAATTAATCACAGAAATTTTTTTCCCTTCTTGCCTTACCTTCTTTCCAAATAATCAGTTTTAATTGGGGAGAGGGTGATTATTACACAGGCATTCACTTTCCAGTGTTCTTCTTTCGTTCCTGAACAGGGTGGTTCACAAAATATCCACTTGTTTATGGTGGAGCCAATACCTACATTTTGCTTTTTCAGTTATTTTTCTAGGGTTGCATTCAGGTGTTTCATTAAAGGGGCTGATCTAATCCTTTGAAGTTTTACTACTGGCTTCCTTAAATCTGGATTAGTTTTAAAACTAATAATTTTTAGCTGGATAACACCCAATGAATCTGGATGGTGAATAAAGCAGCATAAAGGATTATCTTTATTGTGACTGAGTCAACCTACATGCACATAACCTTATTTTTGGCTGTGAACTCCCTTACATGATTTTGTTTTTCTTCACTAATTATTGCATGAATCCAGTGGACATAGGTTAAAAAAATAATCAATCAATCAAAGCAAGCGTTTTATCATTTCCTTTTCTACTTCTGTTCTGCCATCTTTCTGGTCCTGTGGCTGAATCCAGTATTTTTTGCTCAAAATGCTCTCCAACTTGGAATCTTGCTAATTTCTTCAAAGCTAAAAGACATTTGAGAAAACATCCCAGGTGTCTGAAGAAGCCTGTTGTGTTTCATCTCCCCATGTCACTGCTGCTATAGAAGCTTAAAAGTGCTTGCCATCTTCAGCCTCTCCTTTCCCAGAGACTGCAGCCTCTCACCTCCTGCCTTCTCTTACCCTTTACCTTGTTCTTCCCCTCGGCTTCTTTCCAGCCTATGTGGAAATTGTCACTTTTTGCAGCTGTCACACAATGCTGTCCTTCCTGCCTGTCTGCCCCTTCACCTCCAAATGCTATCAACGTGCTACTCTAGTTCTACTATAGGTCATCCCAGTCTGTTTTTTGTGTCCTACCCAATGTGTTTTTCAGTTACATCCTGTCCTTCATGGAAGTGTTCTGGCCGTTGTCTCCTGATTCCCTTTCTTTCATGTCCTAAGGCAGAAAGATGCTGTCCCTTGGAGCTTTCCTCTTCAATGCCCCTCTGAGTGATGTCAACCCAAACACAGCTTCAGCTATTAGCTTCTTTCTCCCCACAACTAAGTCACGATGTATGCTCATTACAGCCCTTGGGGGGTACATAGCCTTGGCTAACCTGTTTCATCAGAACCATCTGTATCATTGTACTTCTTGTTACTCAGACCTGTAATCTTGTTTTCCTACAGTTTGGCCCTAATGTTCTGGTTTTGTCTAAATATTTTTATTCCTGCCTGCACTGTGTTTTCCAAACAAGATATCCTGTCTCCTCACACTCTTGTATCATTTTCCTGGTCTCAGCCATGCTGTTCCCACATGACTGAGTTGGCTCCTCTTCTCTGGCCTCTTTTCTGATGGTGCCCATTTACTAATCAGTTGTTCACACCTCCTTCCCTCCCTGTTCATTACTCTCTTATTCCTCCTTCAGATCATCTTCTTCATGCCTCACTTCTCCTATGAGAGCAGAAATCCCCTCAGACTCTTCCATAGCTTTGTTCAGCCCTGCTTGCCTGGCTTTTTGGCATCTGAGGCAATGGCTGCTCCCTTGCTGAAGGCCATATCTCTGATGGGTAATGTGGCTGCAGTGATGCTGCCCTCCTCGGTGCCCGGCAAAGGAGGCAGGTGATCCCACCTGTGTCCTGATGGCTGAGTGTGGGGAGATGTGTGTAAACAAACCTACTGGCTTGGTGACATCATCCTAAAGCTGTCATCCCTGCTGCCCCTCGCCATGTAACCTCGCTCTTCATTGTGGCTCAGCATCCTCCTCGTGCTGCAGTGTTTGCTGGAGGAGCAAACACCCAGTTTGCTTTCTTGGCTGAGGTGCTTGGAGCCAGCTCCTTCTCCAAGTCACCCAGTGACTATCCAGTGATCTTCCCTGAGCCCATGTTTTCACAGCCCAACCCACTGAGTAGAAATGTTGGAGGTTCTGACTCGGAAATAGCGATGCCGATTAGGACAGGCTGATGAAATTGACCCCCTCAGCTGCACCCTGTAGAACAGGATGGCTGACCTTTCCACTTTAGCAGCCTGCTCTGCTGTGGTGACCCACAGCCAGTGTTTAATCAAAATATGAAAAAACACTATACTCTTCCATTAATTGCCTCTGTCAAAAAAAAAAAAAAAAAAAGGACAAACATTTGTTTAGAAGGTGGAAACTTGCCTTGTCGTGTCTGGTCTCAACTGGAAAAGATCAGAAGATGTATTATTATTTTGCTGTGTTCTCTCTCCAGATTTTATTGTCCAACCTGCCTATGCATTCTGTAGGCTGTTTGACTTCTAGGGCCAGGAATGTCATCAGGAGGTTTCTGGTGCTTGAGCTGATGATAGTAATGAGGCTCAAGGTAACGGGTGGTCTGTAAGGGACCCATGCTAAACACCTTACCAGGAATCACTGATAGCTGCAGCAGAGACTCCCAGAGTATTCCTTGAGCAGGGTCATGAAGACAGCAATCAGCATTTTCCAGGGTGAACAAGACTTGGCAGTGCTCTCTACCTGTAGGAATGTGATCTCTTTTCTGCCCTAACACTGTCAGCTCTTTACAGTGTTTTTCCCATTTGACCCACATTTAATTTTGTTAGCATAATGTCTGGGAGTTTTTTTGAAAATGTGTCATAGGCTGACTCACAGTAAAGAAGTGATCAAAACAGGACAAGAAAATTTCAGGCAAAACAGTATTTCGTGTGTGTGTCTAACTGATGTTATTTGCCTTTCTCATGCTAGATTGCCACCGACCAAGAATTTAAATTTGGGAAAGAAGTTCATGCCTAAGATCCTGCTTTCCCTTTGGTGAATCCCAGGCAGCACTCCTGAAATGAAAGCCCTCATACATCTATTAATAAGGGCAGTACCTGGGCCATAGCACATAAACCATAAGAAGTTGTGACCAAAGATTAGATGCTTGAACACAACACCAGGATGTCCTTCTCCAGGCTCCTAGAAAATTTGTTCCCAAACACATTCTCACAGAAGACTTCCTGGTACATAGTGTCACACCAAGACTGTAAAACTTTAGGGGAACCCCTTATGAATTGGATCAAAGTGCTGCATTTCAATGGGTCCTTTTTCTGCTAGTAATACTAGCCAGAAAACAAGATGGAAAAATGTCATGTAAAAAGAGAGATGTAAGATTAATAATGTTTCAAAAGTCAAGCATAACACAAAGGCGATAAAACTTCGAGAAGATAATGGTGGCCTAGCAGGACTGGGAGAGAGCATACCTTGAGAAAAGCTTCACTCCATTCATATTTCCAAGGCAGAACATCTCCCTGAAAAATATTTGTGCAGGGCTCCAGAAATGGGAGAGGTCCCCACATGCCAATAGATGTCTCCTGTACCTATGGAGATGCCACCTGCTGTGCCCACCATCCAGCTGGATGACCACCCGTGTGGGTGGCTGGCACCAGAAGACATTTGTGATGTCATGAACTGCAGCATGCTATCCTGCTTTTTAAAATGAGCTCATTATCAGATGCCAGGAGAGTCCCTTGCCGGGGTGTGTGTCATGTCACTGAACTCCACGACACCCTGGTGTAACATGAGCATCGGCTACGGTGCTTTCCACCCATGCAGGGTAAATGCCTGGGCCGTTAGCTTTTAGCCTGGGCCAGGTGCTGCTGCACTTAAGTATATACAGCAGTCCAGAGGAGTGCAAGTGGCTTTTCTAAGCCACAGTTTAAACAGGGATTGCATACAGGTGTAACTTCACCCACTTTCACCATGGATTTGCTTGCAGAACCCTCTCCCACTCAGTGGGCAAACTGACCCTGTGTAACCAGAGGTAGATGGAGATCAGCATTCAACCTGAGAGCATCCTGCTTCAGCTCTGTGCCTGACAAAAGCCCTGCTGGCTCCAGCAACAGGAATTCAGGTATGTGAATCAGCACAGTGGAAAATATTTGTGTATTATTCCGAAAATCCAAGCTGATGTTTTCCGAATGAGACTGAAAAATCCTCTGACTCTATGCTAGGAAGTAGCACAGCCACTGGGACTGGGCTGTCTTTTAGTTTGTTTTACTTAAGCATGAACAATACCACCTCATTACATTACAATGTATAATGTGAACTAATACATAAATTACAAAAGCTAATACATTCTCATTCTATAAAGACTGATTGTTATCATAGTTAGGGAAGGGGATTTTCTTAGCAGTGCTTATCTCAGAAGCTATTGGAAGGGAATATGGTAGTACACTTTAATTGGCTGCTTTTGCATCATAGGATGTGTTAATGATTTGTTGGACAATTATTAAGCTGGTTAATCAGCCCATGAAGAATGTAGTTATGAATAACACCTTTTGTACACAATACACACGTGTCACTCTGAAAAGACAAGACCCATCTCCCTCTTTGCGATGTTGCAAAAAAACATGAGAATCTCCAGAAACAGTTCTAGCTCCTGCGATTCACAGCAGCTGGATTATTTCTTCAGTATTTCTTCTGGGAGAAAAAAAATATCTTTGTTATGTTTAACATCAGTAGATTTTAAGTAGCACCTTTGCAACTTTTTCATCATTGGCACTATCCTTGGCAACTTTCTTATACTTCTGAAAGAAAGGCTTTCTTGAAAAAAAATACATTTTTGCTTTTTCAGTTGGGGCAAATTCATTAAGCTGGCAAAGACTTTAGTAGTAATAATCATACAGTGACCTTTTCTTTTAAGAGCTGGAAAGCTCGTAATAAATGAGTCAGTGATTAAGGAAAGAGAGGAGCAGTTGAGTGCTGGCTGGAAGGACTGCATTCGGCTCTCTGCCGTGGGTTTCCTCTCTGCCAAAGTGTGAGGCATTTACATCATTCGTGGGGTGGTGGTGGTGTCGGTATTTTGTATAGCTCTTGTTTGCAGAGTGCTCTAGCTGAGGCTCAAACTCAGACTGAAGTCTCAGCACCTCCGTCCACTTGCTGCTCAACTGAAGGAAGATGTACTTCTGAAATAATCTGCGTATCTGAAAATTCATATTCTGAAACTTCATCCCCTAAATCCAGTGCCCCAAGTTAGTGGCCACTCTGGACTTACCTCAGCTTCTCAGCTGTTAAAGGGCAAACTGTTATTTCTTTTGACTCATGCTCTTGCTGAAAATATAAATGTGTGCATATCTGGGAATATTCCAGTGCTGTACTCTGAATTTTACAGAGAAGCACACAAGGAAAATTGTAATTCTGCTACCACAGCAAAGTATGACTAATACAAATCAAAAGGTGCAAGGGGACTGCAGAGTGACCAGGGAGAACGTTACAGTTTGGATGCCAGTTAATTGAGTATCTTCTTTCCTGTGGTTAAACCACAACAGGCATGCATCCTGTAGAGAAAATAGTATGTAATTAATTAAAATAATATCAGGTTAATGCATACACAGCCTTAATTATTATGTACCCTTATTTTTGAGTCTTTGACTTTACCATTTCTGTAACATTTTAGCATGGTACCTGCATGTGAGCCTGTGCACTGATTATATCCTAATTAACGTATTCTGAAACAATAAAAGACAAATTTTCTCAAAAAAAAATCATCAAAACAAAATGGAGTTTAATACTTCAAACTACCTTGGATTAGAAAAGCGTTAGAGAAATTAAAAATGCCCTCCAAATACGTAAATGCTGTCATTTCAAAGTTGCTTCATCTCCTCCTTTCCCCTTCAGGCTTCAAGTAAATTCTACCCTGAGGAAAACCCTGTGGAAGCTGGGCCTCAGGAAGAAGTTGAAAATTAGACTATGAACTTAAAGGAAACCTCATGACAACTTTGAAGTGTGTAACAGTGACTCAGTGGAGTAACTACCTATAATTCTCCCCTTGGAAAGCAGATGGACTTCTACACGTTGCTTGAGAGAGCGTGACGAGGCCACTCCTAAGGGGAAGTGTACTATTAACAGGAAAATAGTACGGCTAACGGCGAGCGCCTCTAACAGCCTTCCACATAGGAGCTAGTTTTGGGTGACGGGTTTAGGTGGGTTTTTTTAAGTTGATGAAGCCAGCAGAAGTTTTGGTGAGAACAAGAGAAAGGTCCTTTCTCTCCTGTGGTAGGCAACATTTCAATCTTATGCAGCAGCTACAGTTTTTCTTCTAATAAAAATTATAAACCAACTTTGGTGTTTCTGTCAGCTTTCAGTCCTTTATGGCAAATCCATTCTGTTTTGTGGCTGTTGAAATTTGTTGCTTGTAGTTTATCCAGCAAGAAGCCATAAGCCGCATGACCATGTCACGGAGCACCTGTTCCACTAGAATTTCTTGGCGTCTTCTATGTCATGTTCGCTGGGGTAGTCATCATACTGATAATTTCAGTGAGAAGCATGAGCTTCTTAATATAGATTATTAATAAGTTTATTTTGGTGATAATTTCAGTGAGAAGCATGAGCTTCTTAAGTATAGATTATTAATAAGTTTATTTTGGTTTCTTTAACCCTGGTTCTTGCTGTTTCTTAGTCCTTCCATCTTTCCTGAAAGTTATTAATACTTCGGGGCGGCTCAAGTGGTGAGTCCACGTTTTCATCATCCCTCCAAGATCTGTAGCTCAGTGAATTCTTATCGATTTTGCAAAAGGCAATTGTATTAAAGTGGCTTTGTTGCTCAGATAGGGAAACAATAAATAAAAGTGCAGACAGATGTATAAATGAACCATGTTCTGCAGCAAGAAGACTTGTGAAAGAACACAGGCCCCAAAATAGACATTGAGGAGAAGAGTGACGCAGGTGTGCTCAAACGCAGGTGGCAAGCAATTCTGCACATGGGAAGCAGGGAAAAGATGGCACACTGAGTCAGTTTGAACAGCAGTGAGGTAATTTTTTTCCTTGCAAATAGATGTCTTGGGAAAAAATAGATGCTGTGTGCCAAGAGGCTATTGATCACATTGCTAAATAAAGTAGTAGCCTCGCTTCACAGTAGGTTCTTCTAGAAGCACCTGCTAAGCGTTGATGAGGAAAGGACTGCAGTCATTCCAGCGTGCCAGCACAGTGTGACATGACACAACCACAGCAGCAAATGGAGGGGCTCACAGTCAGTGTTCAGTACCACCATCTGAGCCCTTGCCTCCTGAGTCACCCATTAGAAGGGACAGCTAGAGCTGAAAGACCATCATGCAGCAATCTCAAGACACGTGGGGAAAAGCAGCGTGACAAGATGGATTGCCCTGCTGTCTGGTACAGGAAAGCAAGGAGGGCTGCTGGGGAGTTCCCAGCCAAAGAGCCTAATGACCAGGTAAGTGGGATGGGAGCAATCAGCAAAAATGCTACCGCTCCTTGTCAGGGTTATAGGAATCAGAGAATAACGCTGTAGGGTTGCTCAAGCAGAATCCACATTTTCATCATCTGTCCAAGATGCCATGGCTTGTCCTTGATACCTCAGAGTAGAACTGGCTGCACTGTTTCTGTCCTCTAAGCTATGAATCCTGTCCCCAGGTGACTTTGGTAAATAGCAATGGGATTCCATCCTAATTCCAAGTGAACATGTCACGAAAGAGAATGATGAAATAGTGACAGGCTGCTGGTCACCTTCTGGATAGAAACTTTGAGCCAAAGAGGACAGTACAAGTGTTAGAGCGGTGAGCATTGCTCCAAGAATCAACTGTTAGAAACACAAACAGTGCAAAATGGTAAGTCATGGAGCAACTTACCACAAACACATCACTGTTCTGGAAAACAATAGTACTTCTACAGCCATCATCCACCTGCTTCCTTATTGATCTGAACATCCCTGGAGTCAGTCTTGGTAGAGTTTCTAAACTATTATGCCATATAAGAGGAGGGTTTCACAGAGGTGTTGGAGGAGCTAGGATGGCTGGCACGACCTTGATAGTCCAAGGGCATCCTTTATGCATCATGGATGGCTTTGAGGATCTGAGAAACAAAGGTCCAGCTCCTTGCTGTGAACTGGGTCCTTTGGTCATGCTTACTTCACAGTGAATACTGATGCTTACTTAAGCCTGACTGTGCAGTATGTGACATAAACAACATATACCTAAGGAAAGATAATGTCCTACTACTTAGAAAATCAATACACTTTATACTTAAAGACTATTTGGTACAATGGTTAATGAATGAGATTTTCCTAACGTGGGCTAAGAGGCCAACATTTGGGGGCTGGAGGCCTAGCAGGAGAGAGGCCAAGCCAAAAATACCCTCCACTGTCTAGCTGCAGTCCAAAAAGCAGCTGGACGTGGGCACCTTCCCATTGGACTGACAGGCTCTCCGCTTTTCCGAGCAGTTTGTTTACAGCTGTGTCTAAAATAAACGTTGCCTATTTTTTTTTCGCTCCTGTTATTCCTGTGGAGCGAGTTGGATTCCTTTCTGACTCACGCATGATTAACTAACTTCCAGCTGCATTATCTTTATTGTTGCTGCTGATGCACAAGCCAGTGCTCAGCATGACTCGCGGATCCCAAGCTGCGCTGGCGAGGCTGCCACTTACAGAAAAGGGTTTTTCCTGAGAGCTGTGGGGTTTGGGAGTTTGTGGGGTTTTTTCTCATTTATTTATTTATTTAATAGACAGCACCTGCTTGCTTTCTCGGGGACCGGGGAAATAAAAACATATAGCAACCGGTAAATGTGTCCCGACCCACCCCGTGAGGTGCTGCTGGCGGAGAGGCCGCGCCCGGCGGGCGAGCGGGCGGCGTCGAGGGGGTGCAGGCGCACGGCTTGAGGGCCGGGTCCGGCAGTGGCTGCGAGGAAGCGGTTAATGCCGGGCACCAGGAGCCGGGAAGGAAGAGGCCGAGCTCCGCGGGAGCCGCACAGCGGGCGCCCCGCCGGCCCCGCTCCCTCAGGGCCGCAGCTGCTGCCGGACCGGGCGCACGTGCGGGCGCGGCGGCGCGCGGGCACGTGCGGGGCGGGCACGTGCGGCAGCAGCGGCCGCCGGGCGGGCCCGGAGGGAGCGGAGAAGGGAGGGAAGCGGCGCTCCTGCCGCCCCGGGGCAGGGCGGCCGGGCTGCCGGACGGGGGCGGTTTTACCCGCCCGTTCGCCCCTTACATAAGCCGGGGGCGAGTCCGTCCTCCATCACCTCTGCTGTTCCCCTTCCCCCCTCCCGGGAGCCGCCCCCCTGCTGCAGCGACGTGACACGCCCCCTCTCCATCCCTTCCTCCCTCCCTCCCTCCCTCCCTTCCGTCGCCGTCCCCTCCCAGGAAGGAGCCGGAGTCGGCAGCGCCGCGGGCCCAGCATGGAGTAGGGCGGCCCGGGGCCGGCGGCGCCGCGCGGGCATGGAGCTGGGCCCGGGGCCCTGCGCGCTGCCCCCCGCCGCCGGGGGCAGAGCGGCGGCGGGGGGGCCCTGCGCCGAGATGCTGCAGGTGGCGGAGGAGGCCTTCCGCGGCGGCAACTTCGAGCTGGCGGCCGAGATCTACGGCTCGGAGCTGGCGGGGCTGCCGCAGCCCGAGCGGGGCCTGTGCCTCCGCCGCGCCGATGCTCTGGCCAGGGCCGGCCGCATGGCCGAGGCGCTGGACGCCTACGGCGCGGCGGCGCGGCTGGCGCGGCTGCGGCCCGAGGAGCTGCGGGAGCTGGCCGAGAGCGTCGCCCTGAGCATCCGCGACAAGGAGCTGCGCCTGCCGCCCTGGGGGAGCGGCGCGGCCGGCGGCGGGGCGGAGGGCGAGGGTCTGGGCGACCCGGCGTGCTGCCGCCCGCCCGAGCTGTTCGCCTGCCCGCTGTGCCGGCGGCTGCTGTGCGAGCCGGTGACCCTGCACTGCGGGCACACCCACTGCCGCCGCTGCGCCGAGCCCGGCGACTGCGGCCGCTGCCACCGCCCGCGCCGCCCCGCCGAGCCGACCCCCGCCGCCGCCGCGCCGCCACCGCCCGCCGCCGCCCGCCCGCGGGTCAACGTGGTGCTGGGCAACCTGCTGCACAAGTGGTTCGGCGCCGAGAGCCGGGCGCGGCGCCTCCGCGCCGAGGGCGACGCGCTGCGGGAGCGCCAGGAGCTGCCGGCCGCCCTGGAGAAGTACAACCAGGCCCTGGAGATGGGTGAGTGGCGCCGGGGGAAGGAGGAGGAGGAGGAGGGCGAGGCAGGGGCAGCACTGCCCGCCGGCACCGGGGTGACCTCGGCCCCCACAGCCGTGCTGGGAGGGTGTTTGCGGTGAATGGTGGGAGAAGGCACCTGCGGGGCGGGTGATGGAGGTTACGAGCAGGAATCCTGCCAGCGGGTCTCCTCACGCCCGCCCCCTCCCAGTGAATGGCTATTTTTGTTCCACTGGCATTTCTGTCCTTGCTCTCAAGGTGCCTGGCGTTTAGCTGCTCACAGCCGATGACTCATTATGCAGTATTTCTAGAAAACCCGCTTTCCTATTTATGGGTAAGCCATCATTCAGTGCAGGATACGCAGCAGTGGTCGTGTTGAGCCCCACCGCGGCTTCATGGAAGAAATGAGTGTGTGGATCACACATCATTCAGCTACGTGCAGTTGCACCTTCAGCAAGACATAGTCTTTGAAAACACCTAATGAGATATCAGTAGGCGTAAAGGCTCAGACAATTTCCTTTATCTTACACTGCGCAAAATACTTAAGATAAGTCTGCGTTTTGCCTCGAGGAGATGGTCCGCCCAATTTTTGAGCGTAACCTCTTTGTTGGCACGTAGGATTTCTGCGTGCAGTGTTCTCTGAGGAGCTTGGCTTTAAATAAAAATGGCACCGTCTGCCTTCCTCCTCTGCCAAACCGATGGCAGCCTTAGTTTATCAAAACTAGGTTGTTTTCAGGCTCTGCGCCGAGTAGTAGGTGGATCCTGTTCGCTCGGTTGTAGCCGTGTAGTAGTGGCGGTGTGCGTGCGTGCGCCCGGCTTGTTTGCCCTGCGAGCGCAGGGGGTGGTACAACACCGTGAATATCTGAAGCGCCTGGAGGGAGGCGTGGAGCTGGGGAGAGCCGGGATCTCGACAAATCCCCCGGGATCTGCCGCTCCTCCGGTCTGAGCGTGATGGATGTCCGGTTTAATCGAGGAGGAAGGGAGCAGAAACCCTCCATCACGCTATCAGGGACGAAATCCTGCGGGTGAATATCTTCGAAAGAGATGTGTAGAAAAAAAATGTGCTTCCTCTGTGAATGAGCTCCTTCCCTGCATTGAGTAAAATTGCTTTCCTTGTTCCTAGTTGTTACATAAATGGCTCTTTT